CAGTGATGTGGGAGGCTGAGGCAGGAGGATTTGCCAGCCAGGTCAATTTAGAGAAATCCTGTCTCAAAATAAAATGAAAAAGTCTGGGAATAAAGCTCAGTGGTAGAATGCTTGCCTAGCATGTGTGAGGTTCTACCATTAAAAAAAAGAGAGAGAGAGAGAGAAGAAGAAGAAGAAGAAGCAGCAAAAGTGCCCCTCTCCAAAAAAGTGGCTAATGGATACGAAAAATCGAATTTTAAACTGTATCTAATTTTAACTAATTAAAATATAAGCTTCAATAGCCACACACAGCTAGGGACATTGCATTGGGTGATATAGCTCAGGGGAACTGAAAAGAAATATTTGTGCCTTAAATCCTGATTTAAATAGTAAAAAAAAAAAAAAAAAAAAAAAATCCTGTAGATGGACATATACATAGATGCTTCTTCTAAACCTTTTTTTTTTCTTCTTTTTAAAATTCTTATGACTTATAAGGAGAAAAGGATTATAAACAACATAAAAATGTTGCTGCACTTGTGGGAACCAATTTTCTGTACTCACTTCCTCAAGGGGTATAGAATAGGCGATATGTTATTATTTCTTAAAGAGTTTCTAAAATCGTAGCTGTCTAGATCTCTCCCAAAATTTCTGGTTTGATTGGTCAGGATTGATACCTAAGCATAAAAATTCCTTAAAGCTAGCCAAGTGATTCTAAGGTACAGCCAGAGTTGGGTACCCCTAAACTAGTAAATCCGAAACTATTTATTAAGCATAGAGGCAATATGCAAACTCAGACTTTTGGGGGTGGGGTACCAGGGACTGAACCCCAAGGGCACTTTACCACTGAACTATATCCCCAGCACTTTCTACTTTTTATTTTAAAACACAGTCTTGTTAAGTAACTGAAGGCCTTGCTGGTTGCTGAGGCTGTCCTCAAACTTGTGATCCTCTTGCCTCAGACTTCCGAGTCACTAGGATTGCAGGTGTCCACCACTGTGCCTTGCTAAGACATTCCTTCAATGGCAGGTAAAGAAAGCCTTCAGACAACCCAAATTCAAGTCAAAACCCTATAGGTTACACATTCTAACATTCAGGAATGACTTGGGTAAACAGTCCTAAGTTTTTACAATTACTGAATGTTATTTAATTTTGCAAAAGAGATTAGCAAGGAAGAAACAAGCTAGATAGTACTGTCAACTTGCACTTGCTACTTTTGTATATATTATTTAATTTCAAACCCAAAATACCATGGAGGTAGTTACTATTCCATTATTTTAAAAAATTTTCTAGGATTTGGATAGTTTGTCACAGTGAAGCCCTTTACACTCTGATGCAAAAGCATTCTCTTTGAGACAGCTTGTTTCAGAAAATTTCCACACTTTTCTAGTGTGAAAGCAAAACAAGAAAAAGAAAAAGCAGGGTTCAGTGGTGGAGCACAAGATAAGGCAAGGGAGTACTTGAACCAGTCCCCATTCCTATAATTCCTATGCATCTGTTTGCAAACTCTGGGGAAAATAATTTAGGTTTATAGTTCAAATCTACACCACTCTCTATACTAGATCATTGAGAAGTTGCTTTTTTTTTTTTTTTTTTTTTAATCCTAAGAAAGTAAACAATTCACCTACTGCTTCACAAGCTATTTTTAAAGTTCTCACATTTGGAAACAGGGTACATACAACAGGATGCTTATTCACAAAATAGGAATAGAAGAAGGATGTTAAGCATGTTTTCTTTTTTTCCCCAGACTCAAAAGATTGTTGGAACTTCTCCCAAAACAGTTTACAGACCACAGTTTTTAATTTTATTTTATTTATTCATTTTTTGGTGGGTGGGGGTGGGTACCAAGGATTGAACTCAGGGATATTTGACCACTGACCCACATCCCCAGCCCTATATTTTGTATTTTATTTAGAGATAGGGTCTCACTGAGTTGCACCTCGCTTTTGCTGAGGCTAGCTTTGAACTTGCGATCCTCCTGTCTCAGCCTCCCATCTCTGCCTCCAGAGGCACTGAGATTATAGGCATGGGTCACAGCGCCCAGCCAGACCACAGATTTGATAAACGTATTTAAAATGAGTATGGAAATAGTAACTTTAACTTAGGCCACTGAAAGTCATATATTAACTTACTTATTAAAAGCTATCTTTTAAAAAAAAAAAAAAAGTCCAGTTCCTGAATTGTTTGACCCATCTCAATTTTCAAATTACAAGGAAAAGGTTTTCAGGAAAAAAAAAAGAAGTGTGGAGGAAGTACAGAACAGATCCCCACCACTCCCATCAACACTGATCTTTCTTTCCTGAGACCCAATATCTTTTCTCCTCTCAGGCTCCTACCTTTGAAAGTGACATTAACTCAATGAGTCAAACTGGATTACATCAGAGACCTGATAGAAGAATACTTTCAACTAGCTATTCTAATTAACGGCACAGATTTTTCCTAATACATATTTCAAACCACATATGATGGAACATGCCTATTATCCCAGGTACTTGGGAGACGGAGGCAGGAGGAATGAAAGTTCGAGGACAGCCCAGGGCGTTAAGGGAGAACCTATCTTAAAACATAAAAAGAGCTGGGGGGTATAGCTCAGTGGTAGATTGCTTGCCTAGCATGCACAAGAGGTCCTGGGTTTAATCCTCCCTGCACTGAGGGGAATACATATTCAAAAATAAAGGTATGATGACAAGGAATTGACTTCTAAATGCACTGGCTTGGATTATGGTTGTGTTTCTTTTCAACTTCAAAATTATTTGATTACACTATAAAAACATTTTGTAGTTTATTTAAAAATTATATTTGTAATTTATTTAAAATTTATCACTGTCAGAATAGGAGAAAGACATTCCAGTTTCTTCAGGACATTTGGGGCTGGATAAACTGGGAAAATATATACCCAACTGATATGGAAGAAGCTACAAGGCTGCCTCATGGAATCCTTAACCTATTAACAGTGAGGCAGAGCAAGTTTTTCTTAATAGTAAGTAAAGAATACATCAGTTCCTTTCCTTTAAAGATGAACACCTAGCATACAAAAGAACAAATATTCAATTCTTTCACATTCAAGTCCTACATTTAAAAAGCAGCCCTCCAGAGAGGGAAAGAGAGAGAGAGAGAGCATGTGTGCTAAGTTTTACAACTTTTGATCCCTACCACAGTATTAAAATCTGCCTTTTAAATTGATGCTGGTTTGTTGGCATAGAGGTGTATGCCTGTAAATCCAGCAACTCAGGAGGCTGAGGCAGGAGGATGGAAAGCTAGCCTCAGCAATTTAGTGAGGCCCTAAGCAACTTAGCAAGACCTATCTCAAAATAAAAAATAAAAAAGGACTAGTAATATACCCAGTGGTTAAATGCTCCCTGGGTTTAATCCCCCATATCCAAAGAAGGTGTATGGATGCAAATGACACTGGTTTTAATGGGGTGTGTGTGTGTGTATGTGTGTGTTACTTGTAACAAAAAGGCCATTTATATTTTTGGATGCTGGGGATCATCATTAAAAAAAAAATGTACTCTTTACACACTAGTAAATCTTTTGGTAAGATAAATGTAAATTTAAAGTAAACCTACATAATGGAAAAGGAAGTCATAATTCTCTAATTGCACAAGCGAAAGACACTATAAAATGAGTCCCTATTCTTAATAATTAACCCTAAATATTTTTTTTTAATTCTAGCTTCCATCCTACCCTTTCCCCACATACACTCCCACAAAGTCTCCAGAACATCAAAGTTAGAACACAGTGTTATGAAAAAAATTACAATAAACCTAGGATTAGATGATAAAATAGTTAATGTGCTTCTGTATGAATTACTGAATCAATATATGCATGAACCTAGTAAAAAGTGCTTCTAGTTATATTTTACAAAGAAATAATTTGTAGATTAGAAGCCAATGAGCATGAAACAAGTTTTCACCTTGACCCTACCAACCCAGTCATTAAAACTCTGGGAAAATATCAACGCCTGTTTCCATAATAAGAAAACTTAATTTTTCTCCCACACTTTCGTAAAATCTATAAATATAAATTTTTAAACCATGCTAATTAGTTACCAGAGTCCTTCAACCCACAGATCAGGTGTCCTACATTTTGTTTAGGTCCCGCCTTGAAAACAAACCCGATTGCCCCATTTTCTGAGAGGTAAACTCAGCTCCAGGCAGCTCCCTATGAAGTCACCGCGTTTGTAGTTTCAAAGATGCAATTAAACGAAAATGACACAAGTCTGTAGAAGAGATTAGCTGGAAGTGTGTGGAGGTGTAGATCCTATATGTGCAAAGCTAATGAAAACTGTGTTACTGTAAATCTTGGGGACTATGTTTTTACCCATCCTCTCTTCTCCAATATATTTACAACAACAACAAAAAAAAAATCGTAAGACTTTTCTTGACTTAGGTTTAACTTTAGTTTTTCAGCTTCTGCACCTAGTACCATGTAACGAGCAAAGGCGCGGAGGGGAGTGCGGGGGAGAAAAGAGTTTTAACTTGAGCAAGAAGAAAAGCAATAAAAGCTTGCATCAGAGAGAGTCTCCCTCTGCCCCCTTTCTCTTTCCCCACCCCCTCTTCTTCGAGCCCTTACACACACACATTCTTCTGGGCGGCCTCTAACCACACCATCTCCACAATCATTTACAGAAATTAGAAACAGACTTCGGGAGCCTTCTCTTAGCACGCACTGAGTAGAGCTGTCTGTACAGGATGATGGGGCAATGTCACTCCCTATTACCCCACAATCTCTCGGCCCCCCCCACCGACTTTAGGGTTTCATTCCCAAGAATCCGGCTTTCTTCCGCAGAGATGGCTCTGCCTAAATGCAATTTCTTCTCGTCCTTTCCCACCCCGGTCACCCTATCCTCACTCTAACATACAAACACACCCTACCAGCAAAACCAAAGAAAAGTTTCTTTCACCAGGGCAACCGAGGGGTTTAGGGGCTGGAGCAAAAGCAGAAAGAAGGAAGACGACGAGTGAGGGATACTTTGGTTCTTCAGCATCCAGTCCAGCGCCCTGGGCCGCCCTAGTCCTTACCCGCTCGTCGGGAGACCCGTTCCTGCTACTGGAGCGCGGAGTAAGGGTTGCGGGAACGCGACGTCCCGGCTGGCCGCCGGCAGCTGCCGCGGGTGCGGAGAGCCACCACCTCTTCTCCCCCAAGCTGCTGCGGGCGTGGGCTGAAGGAGCTGAAGTAGAAGCCTGGGAGGGGAAGAAGAGAAGCAGCATCTCCTCCTCCTCCTCCTCAACGCCTCGGAAACGCCCCTCCGGCGGCGACCCCCGCCGGCTGCCTGACCCCAGAGCGATAGCGCACTCGCCGCCTGCGGTGCTCCGCGCCCCTTCAAGAAACTTCGCCGAACCCTCTACCGAGAGCGCCTCAACTCCAGCAGCAGGCTCTGAGCGCTGCCGAGGCGGCTGAGGAGGACCGGGGAGCCGGGGAGTGCTGCTCCGCGGCACGACGGTCTTTAGGGGCCGTGACCATAGTGTGTCACCCTCGCCGCGGCGCGGCCGCCTGAGCTACTGGCACTACGGGAGCTCCACCTCGGGCGGCCGCGCCGACCCCGCCCCTCAGTCCTGTCACTCAACTTTTCCCGGGCTCCAGAAGGACCGCGGATCTCCGACCCTGAGCTCCACTCGTCTTCATTGGCTCGTCCGGTTCTAGCCCCGCCCCCTCCCAAGGGACGAGGTCGACTGGGAGACCGGCGCCCGAGTTCCCATGACAACCGGTGCCTTGGGCCTGGCTTTTGGTGTTCTTCTGAGTAGCCTGACGCTGAGGTTGATGGCCGAGCCGCAGAGTTCCGAGAGCCTGCTTTCTGGACTGTTTTAGGCCGAGTTGAAAATGCATCCAAGGACCGCCACACTTCCAACTTCAGAAAAAACTGTGTGGCCCGGGGAGTGCGTGCCCCGGAGAGGAAGAAGCGCGTAACTGCTGGCTCTTCTCGGATCCACCTCAGTTACCCCTCCCCCCACTTGCGCTCCCCTGCCTCAGCCTTGTTTCCTTAATCTCTCCTGGAGATTTGGGCTTTGAAAGGGTGAGGGGAAGGTGGAAGAGAAAGACCAGAGCTGTGCCAGTTCCCTGGAGCCATAAAGCAAGTTCGAAATGGCGGGGTTAACGAAAACAGCCCCGTGGTTTAAAGTTGTAAAGTGATCTTCAAAGGTGTGGTGGCAACACAATTCAGAATGCCCTCGGGAAAACTCAAAAAATACTCAAAAATTTCAAAAGTATGTAAACGTTGGTCTTGGTATTTTCTCTTATACAAATAATAGTCCTAAAGTTTAACAATTTAAATAAAAGAGGTTTAATGTAAGATAAAATAATCTCCATTTTTCTCTACATCCTACAAGTTGGCGAAAGTCAATCGTGTCGTCATTCCTCTCAGAGAAACTAAAAGATTTTTAAGTTTTAATAATTTACAAGTAAGTCTTGAAGAATTTATGAGCAAACAGTGTTTAGTTGTTTGGGTTTTGAGTTTTAGTTTATCCTAGAGGTACAAGGTAACCTGTTCCACTCAAGAGAAGGAAATCCCCTGCCCTTGTCCCCGAGTTAATTTAGTCTAAAACCCCTCGTGCTGATCCCTCGGTAAATCTTTATTTCATGCCTGGCTCCAAAATGGAGAGATCTGAGGCTTATCTGGCTTCCCCTAGAAACTGCAATCCTAGGTTCCCCAGCCCCTGAGGCTGCTGTACATGTATGATGAATGAGGGAATTAATAGTAATGATTTACCTTTGGCTAACACTTGAGTTTTCATTATCTCATTTACTAAATTAATAACTGTGATGGATGTCTTCAGTCAGATGTGCCTTGCTAGTATGCATTGAATGTGATTACTCACAGTGCTAAACAATGGAAAATACACAACAGAATTTTAAGATAAGGGCCCTGCCCTCAAGGAGCTAACCATGGAGCTAAGAAAACAAGCTAGCACTCTTGAAGCAATTTGAAAACAATTATAGCTAAAACATTCAGGCACTTTGGAGTAACAAAGCAGGTAAAAGAAAGTTATAAAGAAAGGGAATTTAATTTGGGCTTTGAAGGGTAAGTAGTGGAATGAATGAAGCAAAGATGAGGAAAGGAATTGAGGGAAACATCAAACTAAGGATCAGCAGGAGGAAAGAGAGAGGAAATAAATAAATAGCAGTGAGAAGACCAGTGTAGTTGGAGTGAAAACAGAGGTGAATGGCTTGGGGGACTGGGTAGATGCGGGGGATGTCCTAGCCCTTCCTCCAGTTTTACATATCCTGGTTCCTGTATCAGGGAGGTAAAATGAAGAGAGAGGGGCAGATTTTGGAAGAACAAAAACTTTCATGGAACATCTGCTTCTGTTTGCCAATGAAAGAAAGTTTATATATTTATTGGAAAGAAAAACAGTATTCATAATACCTGCTAAAGCTTGTGTAGTCATGTCAAAAAAAGAAGGTGTGGAGAGAATAGCATTGGAAATTTACAAAAAATTAGAGAAACCACAGTGCTGTAAGCACTTTCTTTCTTTCTTTTGCATTAAGGACATTTCAGGTGGTTGCCCTCCAGGCCTTTTAACCAGTAATCCCTTTGTTTGGGATGAGCTGAAAGGCTGTTTTTAAAGTAAAGCTAGATAAAGAAAATACACAAAAGGGAAATCTATAGGTTAATTTCCTTTCAGATGTAATGAAAAATCCAAATAAAATATTGCTAAATAGAACTCACGATTGATATATGAAAATTAAGAGGAATTATTCCAGGTATATAAAAATCATTCAATAACAAGAACATTTTTATATAGTTGACTATATTAATAGGTCAAAGGAGAAAAATAGTATGTCTCAATTAAGGCTGAAAATGTTTATAAAATCTTGCATCATTCCTAATTTAAAAAAATGTTTTAAGAATTTGGAATAAATGATTTAAAAAGTAGATATGTTGTACCAAAGCCAGCAACTTGCTTTATAATAAAACAAAATAATTATTCCTGTTGAATTCAGGAACAAGGCAAGAACACTTACTATCATACCGTTTAACAATGGAACTGATAGTCAATGCAATTAAATATGAAATAGAAATAGATTAAATGTTGTACTGCACATATATATGTCAGGATTGTCATTTGTATGCAAATGATATGAAAACCCAAAGGAATCAACTAAAAAACATTAAAAAGCATTAATAGATGAGTTACTTTTAAAAGCAATAAAAAACAAATTAACTAGTTATAAAATCAACATACAGATTGAGTTTTCCTGTGTATAAACTATAAGCAATTGAAAAATACAATATAAAAGGAGTTCTTTTTCTGTTCCACTCAGAGAAGGAAATCCCCTGCCCCCATCCCCGAGTTAATTTAGTCTAAAACCCCTCTTTTGATCCCACCAAAAATCAAATATCTAAAAATAAATACTAAAAGAAATTTATAAAAAAAATTAAAACAAACTTATAAGACACAAGAATTTTAGAAATAGAAAGGTACTTTAAATACCAAGATTCAAACATTGTATGATTATAATGTCTTTAAAAAGTATCTATAAACCAGACATGGTGGCAAAGGCCTATAATCCCAGAGGCTCAGAAGGTTGAGGAAGGAAGATCACAAGTTCAAAGCCAGCCTCAGCAAAGGCGAGGAGCTAAGAAACTCAGTGAGAACCTATCTCTAAATAAAATACAAAATAGGGCTGGGAATGTGGCGCAGTGGTTGAGTGCCCTGAGTTCAGTCCCTGGTACCTCCCATCCCCCAAAAAACAATAATCTATAGGGGCTGGGATTGTAGTTCAGTGGTAGAGTGCTGGCCTCACACATGTGAGACACTGGATCCCATCCTCAGCACCACATAAAACAATTAAATAAAGGTACTGTGTTCATCTAAAACTAAAAAAAAAAAAAAATTTAAAGTAATTCATATACCTAGTATAACTCTAATCAGATTGCAAGTTCAAGGCCAACATTAGCAATTTAGCAAGGCACTCAGCAACTTAGCTAACATAATACTTTTGGGATTTGATAAAATAACTTAAAATTTTATTTGGAAGAGTATGACAAAAATAATCAAGAAGACAATGAGTGGAGAAATCACACTGACAAAAGTATTAAATTATAAATTACAATAATTATCAGCAAACTAAAGTGATCAACTAGATGCAGTATCAGTAAAAGGGGAATGTCTATCATTCAATTGGTGTTGAGAAATCTATTTCTCATATATCTTTTTTGATTCACAACTACATATCCTTTTTCAAAGTTTATTACATATCTATGCCTTGATTTTTTACCTTATAATGTCTCTTTGATCTCTATATCAGATGTTTAGATGGGTTTAACTCTTTTGTGAGGCTGTACAATATTCTTTTGCTTAAATGTAGCATAGTTTATTGAATTCTTACCTTTTCAATGACACATAGGTTATTCCCAAACTTTTGGTGCACCTGACAAATTGAAATACATTTTTTTTTGTATTTGGTTCTGGATTACATATGATATAGATTTGTAGGTTTAGCTTCTAGAAGTAATTGCTGGATTAAATAATAGGCATATTTTATATGTTAATGGACAAAATCATTCTGCCATCTCGGAAGATGGGACAAATTATAGTCATCCTAACAAAAATAGAAAATTTCATGGCACACAGTTTCCCCACATCCCTATCAATACAGTGTTAACAAAATTTTTTGATCTCTGTCAATATGATAGATCCAAATTATATCTGATTGTAGATATAATTTTCATCTCTCATATGAGCATCTTTTTGTATAGATAAGCCATATTTTTTTCTGTCACCAAGAATATTCTCCCATGTTTTCTTCAAAAACTTTTTTTTTAATATTTTTTAGCTGTTGATGGATCTTATTTTATTTATTTGTATGTGGTGCTGAAAATTGAACCCGGTGCGTCAGGCATGCTAGGCAAGCGTGCTACCACTCAGCCACAACCCCAGCCCCTCTTCAAAAACTTTTAAGTGCTTATTTTTCACATTTAATCTTTTTATCCATATGGAATCTACTTTGGCGGTAGCAGTAGCTGCCCAGTTGTCCCTATGTCTTTACCCCCCACTAGAATGAAGTGCTTTTTATATATTTTAGGGTGTACTTCTAAGCTATCATTGGTTCAATAATACTTAGATTTTAATGTAAAACATGAAGTCATAAACTACTAGAAAGAAATATAAGTGAATTTATTTAAAATCTCTGAGTAAATACAGTCTTTCTATATGCACTGAAACTCAGAAATACTAAAGAAAATAATTTGTGAGAATACAGAGTTTCTGTAGTATAATGGAAAACAACAAACAAAATGCCTTAGAGGTTTTTTTGTTTTGTTTTGTTTTTTTGTTTAAATACTCTTAGTATTTATATAGTCTATATAACTGGCAGAGAACCAATACCTTGAATTAAAAAAAAAAAAAATTTACAAGCCCAAAGTGATGGTGAATGCCTGTAATCCTGTAATCTCAGCTACTCAGGAGGCTTAGGCAGTAGGATTGCAAATTCAAGGCCAACATTAGCAATTTAGCTAGGCACTCAGCAACTTAGCAAGAAAGAGTCTCAAAAAATAAAAAG